TAGGGAACCTGCTTTGGCAGGGGGGTTGGACTGGATGATCTCCTGAGGTCCCTTCCAACCCGTCCAGTTTGGGATTCTGTGATTCCCAGGAGCGTGCTGCTGCAGTCCTTAAAGCAGCAAAGCAAGAGGGCAGCCCGGATCCCTTGCAGCCTGTGTGCTGCCAAGTGTCTAAATTATTTTCTGGTCTCCACATGTGTTCTGGTAGCAGCCCACTAGATGGAGATAAAAGCTGTGTTTATCTGCTCCAGACAGGAGGAGAAGAACCAGAGGTGGAGCTTCCCAGCCTCTGGCCTTAGCGAGGGCGCTGATGTAAATGAATTGTTGTTTAATCCAGAGCGATTCCTTTACTGCACTTGGATTTTAGGGATCTAATGCAGGTGGCATCTCACTCACCCAATGCTGTGGGTTATTTTTCAGGCATCCCGTCCGCCACATATGGTTTAATTCTCACAGCCTCATCACTGCAAACGTCCCTGATGAGAAGAATCCCCGAGGTGCCAGCATCGTGGACGATGACCTTACCGTGCACCACAAGTGAGTAAGCCAGCTCCCAAGGGGAGGATTTTTGGCACTGTGAAGATCTGCTTTATTATATATTTTTAAATGTCACACTAAACACCTGAGTCATGATCCAGAGCAGTAAAAAAAACCCATACAGCATCTAAAAATTAAAACAAAAAAAAAGCCTAAAGATAAGGCTTTCAAAACTGTTGATTAATTGGCTCTTTATTTACTTCTGAGCATAAAAAAAAGGCATTTCTTTTTCAGCAGGGGAATGTGAAGGCAACTGAAGCCAGACAGGGAATGGAGCCCTTTTCTTGCTCTAAATATCAGTAATAGTATCTCCTCCTAAAGGAAAACTACTGGTATTTAAACTCCAGGTTTTGGTAGTTGCATCTCAGATGGCTGTTAGCATGTCTAATTGAACTATCCAACTACAATGTACTTATCTTCCCCCATCCTGAATAGATGAGCAATGTTCCAGCAGATGACAGTCATGTCTCTGCAGAGCTCAAGTGAATGATTCAACAATGGTTTCCAGGGCTTAGTGGAGTCCCTGGAAGGAGGCAGGAGGGAGTTTTCTCTGTTAAAACTTCATAGACAGCCCTAGTGCAGAAGGGATGGGGTTTTATATTCAACTTCTGGAACATTGAGTTTTGATCTTTTATGGCCATCACCAACTTTGTTTGTTTCCTCTGTTGAAATATGTTATTAAGGTAAAATAGAACAAGGGGAAATGGCTTTAAACTGAAAGAGGGTAGGTTTAGATTAGATATTAGGAAGAAATTCTTTGCTGTGAGGGTGGTGAGCCAGTGTCCCAGGTTGGCCAGAGAAGCTGTGGCTGCTCCTCCCTGGAAGTGTTCAAGGCCAGGTTGGATGAGGCTTTGAGCAACCTGGTCTAGTGGAAGGTGTCCCTGCTGATGGCAGGAACTGGATGAGCTTTAAGGTCCCTTCCAGTCATGACCTATGCTTCTAAAATGATGTGTCCTGGTTGTGTTTGATACAGGCATCGAGGAATCATTTATGCCTACGAGTTCTCAGTGGACCAGTTGGCTGGAGAAAGCGTCCTTCCTATTTGCCGCTCTTCCTACGATGAAGTGACTGGTTACAACTACAACATTGGCCTTGCAGTTCCCTATGATAACATTTAGATAACTCACTTGGCTTCTGTGGTCCAGCCCTCTGCCAAGTACCTGGCCAAAGGCAAAAAGGAGATCCACGTGGGACAAGCACCAAAAAGATGGTGTTGGCTGTAGGCACGTCAGATGGGCTGAGCATCTGCTGAAAACTTGGGGATATGAACCCAAACAGGGAGTATGGCTGCCCTTAAATGTATCACTAAAATATATTGCTGCACAAATGTTCTGAGGTCCACTGCGGTGGAATGGAGAGAGTGAAGAGTGAAGGGGAGCAGTACACTTCAGTGTCAATAAAAAATGCTCCTTCCTGCTGCTTGTGGGGAAAACGTTGCAGATCCCATCTTGGCAGAGGAGCGAGAACCCCGAGTGGCAACGTGCTGAAGTGTTGGGAGCACTCTGAGGAGTTCATGCCTGTCCTGAGAGGGGAAAAAAAAAACACCAAGGACTTGGAAATAGCATCTTGCTGAGCCACATGTTTGAAATTTCTTTCCTTGTAATGAGCTATTAATTCTTCTTTTCCTTGGAGTGTATTGGAATGCTCCTGGGAACATGACCATGCACTAAAGGTTACGGTGGTTGGAAGAGTATGATGGAGAGAGGGAGG